CTCCTGGCGGAGGCGTCAGGCCTGGGCAAGGGCCCGATCAGGCGATCGGAGGGTGATGGGGGTCGACGCCTCTGGCCGAGGCATCAGGCCTGGGCCAGGGGCAGAGTCAGCAATCGGAGGGGTCTGGGAGCAGAACCAGTGATGGGGGGAAATGAGAGTCCCCTGCCCAGGCCTGCGATTGGAGGGTGATGGGGGTCAACGCCTGAGGGCTCCCAGTATGTAAGAGGGGGCAGGCTGGGCTGAGGGACACTCCCCCTCCCCCACACCCAGTGCACGAATTTTGTGCACCGGGCCCCTAGTACACAAATATAATGCAATGTAACAAAGGATTTGTGGCATTTATTCAAATAGACTAAATGAACTAAAAAATATTAATTTAGTACTGCTAGGATTTTAACATGATTTCACCTATTACTATTTTTATAGAGATTGTCTGAAAATAACTATAGCTCACTTAGCTGGACACCAATGATTTTAAAACCTTGTTAGTCTTCATAGCAATATTAATATAGTCCTTTCAAACTTCAAGGTTTTTTGCTTTATTTTTTTTAAGTTTCTTTATGAAATAAACTTTCAGTCTTTTAAATGATATATCAGTCATAATAAAATTTCCTCAATTGTCTACTAGTGTCGTTTTTTTTTCTGGTCCTGGATCCAAATCAAGATCACACTTTGCATTTAGTTGTTATGTCTACTAAATCTCCTCCAATCTGGGGAAGTTCCTCAGTTTTTCTTTGTCTTTTATGATCTTGACACTTTTGAAGACTGCTGGCCAGCTATTTTTATAGAATGTCCCTCAGTTTGAGTATTTCCTCATGATTAAATATAGGTTTTTTGAGCAAGAGTACAATGAAGTAATGCTGTCCTTATCAAAACCACCTATCAGGAAACACAGATGTCAGAATGTCTCATTATTAGTGATACTACCTTTGATCACTCAGTTAAAGTGTAGTCTACAGGTTTCTCTAGATTTTCCTTTGTAATTAATAAGTGTCTTGTCGGGGAGATACTTTAAGACTGTGCAAATATAGTGTATCTCATCTCTTCACCCACTACTTTTATATCCAACTACTGTGGTATTTGCCAAATGTAAATTTTCCAGTTCCATCATTCATTCCATCCACATTTATTAATTGGAATTTCATAGTAAGGAAGAGCTGTCACTTCTCCTCCTTTTATAAACAAAAGTGATTTATATTTTTGTAAATGTACAATCTCATAAGTAATCAAAAGAATGCAATTTAAAATAAGGAAGTAACAGTTTTCAAACTATTAGAGTAACAAAAATCAAAAAGAATGGAAAAAATGTTCAAAAATACCATGATTTTCTCATTAATTTGTTAAACTATCATTTAACCTGTGGAATTTATAATACTGTGGCATGAATAACCACTCATGTGTAAGATGGCTTGATCACAATTAAAATAACCTTTTCATTAATAAGCTATGTCATTTTAACTAAATTTTTACATAAAATGTCCAAATAATAATAGCAGATTAAATTCAACTTGATCAATACCTACCTTTTACCTACTCATCCCTTAGAATACTGAGTTGTAATTTATTAAAAACACATAAATCACAGAGCTAAACTCCTGACGCAGATTATTCATTTAACCTCAAAATTACCCTGAGAAGTGGGTATTATCATATCCATTTTATAGATTAGGGAACTCAAGCTCAGTTTTGTGAAGTACCCAAATTCACATTTAGTTAAGCTTCAGAATCTAAATTCAAATTCTGGTCTGGGCTTCAATATTTAAGGTTTTCAACTTTATACAGGAACACGTTTCAAGAAATTTGGTACAATAAACTTGAACATTAGCTTAAAATAGAAGAACCTAAAAGGCTAAGAATTAATATTCATATCTGAAGTGTTTCTACTTTGCTGTGAAGAAAAGTTAAATAAAATTCTTTGGTCAAACCCAATTGTATCCTGAATTCCTAAGTACAAAACAGTAATTGTATTTGCTCTCATAGGGACTAAGTATTTCTGACCCCTTGTTCATAATAAGAATTTAAAATATTTTTAAAAAGCAAAATTCAGCATTTTAAACTTGAATTTAAAAGCAAAATTATATTGAAAAAATTCAGTGTTTACCTTATCCTCATAAAACGTTTGCCCTCAGTTAGTATTCAGACTAGCTCCTGACTTTTGAGACCACAGAAAAATTATCTTTCTCTAATAATAAACATAATAATTACTTACAATTCAGAAGCGGGTGCATACAAGAAATGTCAGACAAAAGAAAACTGCTTTTTGGTGGCACCAGGTATTTCTGTCCCATTAAAGTAATCATTTTTGTAAATCTAGAGTTGTTTTCAACAATCCGTGAAAATAAATCCTGCTCTGTAACAGACATATCGTTTTCCATCAGTTGTAATGTCAGAAGTTCCGTTTCATTCAGAGAAGGCAAATGCTTTGCCATTTCACATAATTCTGATAAATTGCAGGTATCAAATGATAAAGTAACGGGCTCATTACACTTGTCCTGTTTTTCAGAAAGTGGATGAAGAAAGCCACTTTTTAAACCTTCTTGGATTATCTGTGAAGATCCATCCAAAATCAGCCCCCTGATCTGTAAGAAAAAATTTTAAGTACATTAAAAGGTCACTGACATTAATACAATTTTCTAAAAAATGAAATTCCTACTGTGCTTTGAATATGTAAACATTTATGGATTGAAATCAAACCAGAATGCTTATAGGAAAATAATTTTATACTACAATGAAAAGATAAGAATGTATGAGTATGCTTTTAAACTGCAGTTTCCTAATTGGGGAATGATCCAAACCTCATAAATTCACTGAAAATTAAATAACAAAGCAGTATATATAAGAAAATACATCCTTGCCCTAACCGGTTTGGCTCAGCGGACAGAGCATCGGCCTACCGACTCAAGGGTCCCAGGTTCAATTCCGGTCAAGGGCATGTACTTTGGTTGTGGGCACATCCCCAATGGTGAGTGTGTAGGAGGCAGCTGATCGATGTTTCTCTCTCATCGATGTTTCTAACTCTCTATCCCTCTCCCTTCCTCTCTGTAAAAAATCAATAAAATATATTTTAAAAAAAAGAAAATATATCCTTAAGTTATAAAATGAATTTGATAGTGTTTCTAAAAGAAAGTATAATCTCTAATCTGTAAAGAGAATTAAGTTCAAATCACAAGATTTAATCTTAAATTTTCCTAGTGACTTAATTTTAAAATAAACATACTTTGAGTTTATAAAATATAGCTTGAGTTATTTAAAAAAATTAAAGAAAAATAACTGTAAAATGAATATATAAACAGTTTTGCAGACATGCAACTACAATAATCATAAAAATAAAGCCCAGTTCTGCTTCTGGACAAGATGAAGTACATTTCATCTGAAATAAACTTTTAAAAATTATTTTTTAAAAAGGCCTTCAGATGATGGATAGATGTCAAACAGAGCAGGGCAGTGGTCTCTAAAAAGGAGAAGCAACTGATTGCTCCAGCCAACTGCCTTGAGAAAGTTTCTAGGCAGCAGCACAGAGGATACCATTCAGAGTCCAACCGTCTCTCTGAGTTGAAGAGACAGAGCTTGGAGTCTGAAAAGGACAAGCAGGTAGAGTATTCTGAGGAGGATACCACAGAGGAAGAGCTGCACAGAGAGACGTCTTCAAAGCTGCAAAGGGCCAAGTCTCCACTTCAAGTCTCAGTATTGATCAGCATATACATATGATGAAACTCAAAGTCAAGGAAAGAAACAGAAATGATCAAAGGGAACAATCCCCAGAGCTCATAGACACTGGGAACAGTTAGTGCTCTCACTGGCCAAATGAAAAATCTCATAATTCACAAACATTGCCTCAGTAATGGAAACAAACAAAAAGCTCTAAGTCTGCTCTGGTCCTAACTAAAAAAGCTTAAAGGAAGTCTCAAGAGGATCAACCAGTTTCAAAGTAGAGGAAACCAGGGAACAGGAAGTTATTATTTTATAGGTATGGATTCTACTTGGAATGATGAAAAAGTTCTGGCAATGGATAGTGGTGATGATGGCACAATAGTGTGAATGCATTTAATGCTAAATTATACACCTATAAAAGGTGAAAATGATAGATTTTATTATGTATATTTTACCACAAAAAAACATTTTTGGGGGAAAAAATCCAATGTCATACCATCACATTAATTCAACATGTCCAACCCTGGTTTCCCATCTCAATCGAAGGTGTTCCTTAGGCAATTAAGCTTAAATATTTGTGTTCCCTCAGTTTTCTCCCATTTCTTTATCTCCTAGATTTCATTTATCTCTAAGTTCCAGAAATATATCCTTCATATTATTCATGCTTTCTTCTGCCACTCTCTTAGGTAAGTTGTTTTAGCTATGGACAGTAGGCTTTTATAACTTATAAAATTTCTAAACTTAACCAATATAGCATAAATGTACTTACATTAAATATGTAAAATAGGAATATATGAAGTTTTAATAAAAACTTTGTTTAACTTGTTCATTACTATAAAAGTAGCAATAAACCACTCCTTTATTAAATTCTAACCTTGATCACATGATTGCATTTTTAAGAACATCCTTATTTATATCGTCTGTTTAAACTATTTCACATCAATCTTATAATGTTATCAATGAACATTTCACACTTTACCTTTTCATGGTATTCCATAGCATCCAATTCACCTTGATTGAAACCAACACACCTTTTACGCTTCTAAAGAGTAAATTACAGGGAGAAAATTATACTGCCACCTATCACAAAATTAATATTTTGAATTTTTTTTCTTTAGCACATTTTCCATATTGGAGCAACTCAGTCTTTAAAAGATAATAATTACTATTTAGGTCAAAATCAATGCAGAGGGTATGGAGAAAGGATAAAAATGTTTTCCCACGCCGAAACCGGTTTGGCTCAGTGGATAGAGCGTCGGCCTGCGGACTGGGGGGTCCCCGGGTTCGATTCCGGTCAAGGGCATGTGCCTTGGTTGCGGGCATATCCCCGATGGGAGGTGTGCAGGAGGCAGCTGATCGATGTTTCTCTCTCGTCGATGTTTCTGGCTCTCTATCTCTCTCCCTTCCTCTCTGTGAAAAATCAATAAAATATATTTTTTTAAAAAATGTTTTTCCACATAATTATTATTATTACTTTTACTACAAATTTAATAGATGATAAAAGGTCACCGCACCTTATCAACTATTAGTAAGAAATAGTACTAAACGGTACCAGTGACATCCATGGAACAACTGAGACATTCTTTAAACAGTCAGCAGTGTCATCTGTCAGTTGATATATATGGTATAATTATTCTGGACTTTCTTCAGTTCTGGAGAAGAACTATCATCTATATACCTAAAAAATTGTCCAATGTACTTTTAATAGTTGTTTGTAATTGATCTGAGGGCTAGGTAAAAATCAGATATACTAATACTACCCTGTATCTAACAACTCCAGAGCAAAGAACATGTAAGACAGTGCAATACAGAGCAGGGCCTATGTACATTTTATTGCTGAACCTCAGTGCCTACATGGTGGCAAACTCCTCGCAGACTAACAATAAATGTTTGTGGGCTGAATAAAGAAATGGCTTTAGATTAAGTTAATTGCACAATTTGCCACAGCATATCAGAAATAAGGTAAGTTTTATCAAGATAATCTCATTACATATGCTCATCTATATTTTTCTATATTAAAATGAGAATTTCACCCAATATAAGACACCTAAACATTTAAATACTAAAATACATAAACATTAAAAGACAATGTCCATTCTTGGTGAACTGTAAAGTCCTTTACAACTGTTTATTATTATTTGCCTGAATTAATAACAATAATGATAAATTACCAACATACTATATTACTGAAAGCTCAGAAATATTTTCTGTCCCTGACACATAGCAGATGATCAATAATTAGTTGAAAGAGAAAAAACATATGTACGAGAAAAAAATCACATGAATATTAAAATTGCTACTTCAGGTACCTATAACAATGTAGTAATTTACTTCTATTAATTTTCTTATTCTAATTCTCAATATGTTTATTTAATAATATCTTTCTTCCCTTTACAATTATAAGATCCATGAAGGCGAGGATTGTATAGCAAGGGTTATTAGCAAATTGTTAAAAATTACTCTGGATACACTAAAGCCTTCTTATGCTTGACTGATTCTTATGCTTTATTCTTTAAACTTAGTAAATCACAAGGTATTTGATACTGGAATAAAGAATCTCTTGTTTTCTGTAAAAATATAAAAATTTCTTAAAACTTACTACCTTCCCAAGAGCAGAAATGGAGATTTCTTTTTTAACACCATTCATTAGATCTTCCTTTTCATTATTTTGTTGGCATTCCTTGTGAATAGCTGAAGTTATATAAGGTTTAGTGATATCAAACAGTTCAGATCTAAAAATATATTTTTGTATGAACATTTCACAATTTCCTCCACCATCATTCTTGGGCTTAGTGGTAGAGTCAGAAGCAATAAATTTAGTTGAGGATCCAAAGGAGGACACAGAATCAAGGTGAACAGAAGCAGTGGGCTCATTTTTACTGCAACAAGACTCATGATGCTGGTGAACTTGATAGTTGATCTTGTTAATGAAAGAAAGATGATCCAGTAACCATCCTGGTGACAGCTGGTGCACGACTGACATTCTCTTTCTTTAAAAAAAAGAAAAGAAAATACCTCTGGGAATGAGATTAGAAGTAAAACCCAACTTTCCAGATCAAGTTCTTAAATGTCCTGTATTTCAATAAAAACATACTACATACACAAATACACAATAAACTTGACATGTACACAAAAGAAAAGTTAGCATTCGTGAAATATAGCAAGTCTAAAAATAATTACGGTGTTTTAATATAAACTTTTAATATGAGGGTTAGTAATTCAAAATTTTCAGCCAACTTGGACAAAGAGTTAAAACCTGACCTTATTTCTAGAATCCCAATTTGATCTTTCTATCTTCCTGGGCCCTGCTTGGATCCAGCCACTGTGTCTACATCTTCCAAGTCAGAAAGTCACTGAATCCTTAACAGGTGACAGTGTCCTGTCAAAGCAAAGAATGCTGAATTACCTATGTGAATCCACCCCTTTTAGTGAGATAAACCTGGAGGTCACAAGTTCAGAGGAGCTATAAGCATATCAGCTCTTGTTTTTCAAACTACATTTAACGTAATAAGTCAGCCCATTCTCTGGTATCATTGCCTTACTTAATCACTGGTACCAATGGAGTGCAAAAATATAAAAAGAAAAGCAAAATGCAATTTTAACAGCACTAAACCACAGCAAAATTGCAAGGTTACAGAGTCTAGATGTGTATTGGTTCTGAGCAGTTCTCCTCCAGCAACTAGAACTTCCTTTTTTCAAAAGATGCTTTTCAGTTCTGGATATTGCTTACTAAATCTAGTATAGTGGAACGCTGAAGAGGGGGGACAAATTAATATATGTGACTAATAGCACAGCTAATACTAGTAACATCTAGATTCAAACCTTTAACTCCATGCATTAGCTTTATGACCATGGGACAAGCTATTTGATCTCACTGAGCCACAATTTCACCTTTTTTTTTTTTTTTATGACATCTCGGAGGGCAGTTTAGAGAACGTAATGCGATAATCGACATGAAGTGCTGTGCAGTGCCTGGCACGAAGCAACTGCTCAAACAAATGCTTTTGGTGACGGTAAATCTGGTCCTGGTCCTCCCTTCAGAGTCACCGCGGTGGTGAGGAGGTCCTGTAATATCCAGCGAGAGCTAGAAATGCAGATAGGAAGACTGAAACTCAGACAGAAGGGATGGCGTGCCCCAAATTACAACTGTAGTTAATGGCACGACTGCTACAAGGCCCAGGTACCCCGACTTTGGTTCTGAGCTCTTCTTCCAACCCCACCACCCTAGGTATCATAGGCGGTGTTTGTCCGAGTTCAGACTCAGGGAAGCGGGAGTGACTGTGAAGGGAGGACCAATACCAGGTTTACCATCACCAACAGCAGCCTATGCTCACTGCACCTCTCGGTCTCTCCTACTTCTCTGCTTCACACCAATCACCCCCTAATCATCCGGATTCTGCCAGCCGTGGGCAAACCACGGCCCGCGGGCCGGATCCCGCCCGTTTGAAATGAATAAAACTATTGAAAAAAAAGACCGTACCCTTTTATGTAATGGTGTTTACTTTGAATTTATATTAGTTCACACAAACACTCCATCCATGCTTTTGTTCCGGCCCTACGATCCAGTTTAAGAACCCATTGTGGCCCTCCAGTCAAAAAGTTTGCCCACCCCTGTAAGCCTCTCACAGGGCACCACCAGACTAAAAAGGTCGTAAAATCCTAGCGAGCAAATTCTGAGCCCGAACCCAGGCGTGGCCCACACCGGCGCGATCTTCGGAACCAACTGCGCCCAAACTCAGTAGGCTCACTCCCTCCTCCCTCACTGCTTCCCTCATCAGAAAAGTGCATGCCGCCTTCCCAGATATGCAGCGTGAAAAAAGCACGCATCTAAATAGTTGTCCTAAAAGACGCCCCTTTCAGCCCAAAGCGGGGGAGAGGAAATCTGCTCTAAGAGCCAACGGGCGCGTCCATGTTGCTGTACGGACAAAGCGTTTCCAGGGCGACTCCGAGCGCTCTGCCCCCGACTCAGCGACTCAGAGCGCTCAGGCCTTCGGAGATACACTGGGGGTCGGACCGGACTTGGTCGGGGACGCTTACAGGGCCCGGGAGACGCCGGCGCGACCGGCGAGACGGCGGGACGCGACGCACGCAGATTTCCCGCGACGAGCAGCCCCCCCCGCGAAAGAGATGCGCACGCGCGAGCACGGGACGTGATGACGTCAGCAGCCGCGGAGATTTTAAAATTCTAACGGCGCGGGTGGGTGGGTCCAGGCGCTGGTGTTTTGGCGGCTGCCCTGTTGTCTCGCAGGTTATCGCACGGTTTACGGAGATTTTATTTCTGAATCCGGTCAGAAAGCTGGAAGAAAGGTGAGTAATGACTTTGGGGTTATTTTGTGGCGGCAGGGAGAAGGCGAGAGCGCCCACTACCAGAGACCCAGCGGGGCGATGGTCTAGTGTGGGCTGTTGTGCTGCTGTGGAAGCCTCGGGTCCCACTCCGCGAGGCGCTGGTGTCCGGGAGTCCAATAAATTTCTCCTGGCAGCGACTTCCCACGGGAAAGGGGGTGGCCTGGGGGCCGCTGATGTGGGGTAGAACTGAGGGGAGCCGGGGACAGGAGCCGCTTGGTGGGTTTGAGATAGGAGTGTAACAGCCTAGGGCCCGGGTACCTACTTGGGGAAGTCTTCATCTCCATCTTCAGAGTACATTTCAAGTATTGATGGGGAGCGGGCCTGTGGGTTAGAGTGGAAACGTTGATGGATGGACAGATGCAGAAGCATATGTTTAAAAAGAAATGCATGGGCAAACCAAGAAATTGAGAAAAAAGAAAAATGCTGAGAGGTTGTAAATGAAATTGCAGCAGCCAGAGGCCGAGAGAAAAAAGCAGAACAATTAGCCTGTGGATAGCTGTTGACCAGCAGCTAACACAAGGCGGCTCAGATGCATCTATGTTTGTGGGAATTTAGGATCAACTCCCCGGGAAAAGATTATTTTGAAGGAACAATGGAACTTGACTGCCTTTCTGTTTGAAGATAAAAGTGGGTGCTGCATAGTGCCACCTGGAAAGTTTGTGTGTTTTTTTAATACTGAATCATGAATGCAGGTCGTAAGCATGAAGCGCAGCTCAGTTTCTACCGGCGGTGCTGGCCGCCTCTCTATGCAGGAGTTACGATCCCAAGACTTCAATAAACAAGCCCTCTACACCCCTCAGACGTAAGTATCTCATGCCTCATTGTCTTGGACAAAGCAATCTGTAGAGGGATAATAGCAAAGCTGCACTATCAGTGATGTCCGATGAATCTTGTCTGTGGTCAGTGGCACCCGATTTTGGGTCAGTGACAGATAAAAGTGGGCATATTACTAAGGTGTTGTGCCTTACCTCACTTGTTCTTTAAGGCTCAATGCCGTGTCTTTTGCCAGGCAACTGACATTCATTCCCTGTGCAGTAACTTTCAGCTTGCTGAGGTGTATTCAGCTAGCAAAGTTCTCAATGAAAGGTATTATTTGCAGCAAACGGTAAGCTGCAGTTCAGTAGCCGTCCACGGAACACCACTTCTCCAAACTGTTTTCTCAAGCTGCGCTGGGAAAAAAAGGTGTCCAAAAGAACTTGCTGTGGTAAACTAGTTTTACTCTGTGAGTGATTTCCTTCCTACTAAGAAAAAGGCTATTCGTGAGCCCCTGTAGATCTGTATCAGTCCTTCTCGCATACCAAGTGACAAGACAGACATTCTGAAGTGCTCTAAAATGAAATGACATGCAGCTTACCGTGGCCTGAGAGTGTGAGAGACGGTTAGCCATTAGTAGCTGTGGGCCACCTATGACGAAAGATTGCTCGCATTTCTCTATATATGTTGGAATTTAGGGTTAATTTCAAGATGGCTATTTCTGTGAATATCCAACGGAGAATAGCCAGGTGCCTTGGAAGCCCAGGTGCCTCTCCACCGGTTAGTTACATATCAACTTTTCAGTCTGCCACCCACAGCTAACCCAAAGGGGTGGATGCTTCTTCCTTGCTAACTCTGGACCCATCCCAGAGCTGGCCCCACTCAGCTTCTCCCACCCCTTTTGCCTGTAGCTAATGTAAATTCTTTCAGAAATGCTGCTGGCGGTTCAGACTTAATGCTCTAGAGCAGTGATGGCGAACCTTTTGAGCTCGGCGTGTCAGCATTTTGAAAAAACCTAACTTAACCCTGGTGCCATGTCACATATAGAAATTTTTTGATATTTGCAACCATAGTAAAACAAAGACTTACATTTTTGATACTTACTTTAAATATTTAAATGCCATTTAACAAAAAAAATCAACCAAAAAAATGAGTTCGCGTGTCAGAGATGAGTTCGCGTGTCATAGGTTCGCCATCACTGCTCTAGAACCTGTTTTTTTTTTTTGCTAGCAATGGCCTAATAAATCCTTTCTTTTCAAAAAGACTTTCAGCCATGAAATTAACATTTTGTTTAATATAAGGTACAAGTTTTATTTGCTAACTGTTCTTAAATTGCTTAGGTTTACATAGTATAAGCTGCAGCTACTTTTAGGAATTTGAAATATTTATGTATGGTTTTTCTTCTGAAGTCAGAAAAAACTTTTGTACTGTTGCATATTACTTAACACTGAAAGATTTGTCTTGAATTGCACAGTAACTAAAAGGCTACCATTTTCAATGTTTTAGGTCTGTAATTTAGATAATGTATGTTAAGTGTAGCTGTGTTCTGATAGACCAGGCCTCAAAAAAAATTTTTTTAATGTGGCTATACTCCTATGATTGAAAATATTTTTTAAGTTTTTTCTTTTCCTTTAATGTTGTTATCCATAAATGTCTATATTTTAAGATAATTGAAATCATAATGTAGCTATCTTTTCTTCATAACATTTTAGCATTATAACTTATACTGTATTAGCCTATTCTCCTTATTGCAGTTATGATTGCTACTAAAAGTTTTCATAATTTTGAATTATTTTTATAGGTAATAGGAAACCTAATATGTTGGTTCTAACATATTTCCAAAAGTTTCTTGAACTAATATTTTTTTATATTTATCTTAAAGAGTGTGTTTTCCTCCTTTTCTTAAAGCAAAGAAAAGCCATCCTTTGGAAAGTTGACTATGACCAAACCCACATCTGAAAGAAAAGTCTCTCTATTTGGTAAAAGGTAATGATATTTTTTATTAGTTCTACTGAAGGTATTCTTCAAGCCAATGGTTGAACTAAATGCTCTCTGGATACAAAAAATTAGATAGCATGGTCCCTTTCAAGAGAAAGTTTTAATCTAGCTCTCTTCTGTTTTAAATGGTTATATCTGCTTTAAATGATGCAAAGAGATATATCAGCACAGTCAGACTACTATTTTTTGTTGATTTCAGAGGAGAT